CATTGAACCACAATACCGATAAGTAATTAATAAAAGTCAAAAGACCAAAGAGGTCACCTTAATACCAAAAAAAAAAATTAATTTTATAATATCACTATGATATTCTAATAGAACTTAAAATTATAATATAAGTACAAATATTAATATAAAGAAATAAAGCTTTACAATTGCATTTAAAAATATTAGTTATTGATTATTAGTCAATTAATCAATTATTAAGCTTAATTGCTAACTAGCTAATTTAGATTTGCTAGTTTTGAAGTTTTAAACTGCTAAATCTTTTTGCAAGCTACTTAGCATTAGGTAAAGTTATAATTTAATTATATTATATAAATGATTGAATTTATTCAAAAAAAGTAATTATCTGAATATATGCATAGTAAAGAAATCTGATTATTAATAATAAAATAACAAAATTTATAATTTTTATTATCAGCATATTAAAATATCATATATTTATTTTTAGTGTTTTGAGTTAATTAGTATATCTTCAAGCCTATTACTATTTAATTAACATTAATGTAAATTGATTAATGTGTTTAACAAATTAATAAAAATTTAACTTACATATAGATTATTTCTTTGAAACAAGAAAAGATCTAAATATAATAGTGTTGAGTTGTTTACATGCTTTTACAATTATGAATAACATCTATGTCACAAAATATAGTATAAAATTCTTGATTACCTAACATTTGATAATAAATAAATATTATAGATTCATTTCTTTAGCTCAAATTCTAGCTCATTTTATGTTATTAATTAACCAGTTTTATAACAATTAATTATACAAGTCAAATGAAGCTAATAACATCCTTATCTAATTTCATTTTGTTAGCAATAATCAGCTTGAAATATTTTACTAAAATTTTCCTACTTTTACAAAAAAATAAATGTTTTATATTCATTCTTTTTAATCCAATTTTGACAATAGTAACCAATATTAAATGTTGCAATAAAAACACTATCATCTAATTTCTTATAAATGTTTTATATATGTCTTCTTCTACCAAATATCATATTAATAAAATATTTAATATAGAATACTTTGTTAGGATTTTTTATAAAACTTGATGTTTTTGATTATTATTTTTAGTAAAAAAATTTTTAATTTTTATTTTAACTAATTTCAATTATATTTTGTTAATTGTTTTTTATTATATTATTTGATTTAAAAAATATTTATCATTATTTGATCTGACTTATATGTCTAAAAAAATTTTTTTTGTTTGTTAAGGCGATTATTATTCTAATATATTCAAATGCATTGTATGTCCCAATCATTGCTTTGTTCTTGAAGCTGTTTCAAAATTTCAATAGTTTTATTTTCAGAAAAATTATCATATTTGAGTATATTTTCAAGAATTTTTTTTTTATAATTGTTTGTAATTCTACACTGATGTTTTGTACCAGCTTGTTTATAGAATTGTTCAATATTGGCATTAATATTTTCAACTTAATTATTTTGTAAACTATTATTTTTTGATTGTTTATTTATTTGTTTCTTTATTTTGCTATTATATTTGCGAAATTAACTTGTATACTACTACATTACATTTTCTTTAACCTTTTGTATTTCATGGTTCAACCTTATACATATCTTGTTTTAGAATTTCTTGAAGACAGACTATTCTAAAATTATAACATGCAAATAGATTAGAAAATCCTAAAGATGATATTTCTTGTACATGCTTAAAAATTTCATATGTTTTTGGATTTGATAAGAAAAGTGCATCAAATAATTTATTTGCTAATTTCTACAAAGCTTTTTTTCTTGATTGTATAGCTTTTTCTTCTTTAATAATAATCCTATCTTCCAAGTATTCTGAAATTAATAATTTTAACTGTTCTCTTTCTGCCTGTGCAGAACAAATTTGATGTTTTAATTCCTTTGTATCTATCATTTTTCTTGCAATATTCTGTTTTATAAACATAACTCTAAAACATTTCAATGCTTCATTCAAAGCAAAAAAATGTCCAGGTTGAGTTAAATTGACAGAACAGACACAACAAAGTAATTTCTAAAGCTGAGAATTTTTATCAATAAAAGATAAAAAATGAGTTACCAAATTTGCATAATTAACTTTGCTAGCAACTGAAAAGAGAAATGCAAATGCATTGAGATTCTTTATTTGCATATCATAGTTCTCTTGACAAATGCTGATCTTATGTCCAATTCAATAACTAATTTAATGAAAATAATAATAATAAACTCTAAGAATATCATTATCATTACTTTCTATATTTTACATTTTTAAATTTTTGATATGTAAATATTTACAAAGTGAGATGCCAATAGCAACCCAGATTAGTTTTAAAACTCTACTAATAGCCTAATAGTTAACTACACTTTTTAGTTTATCTAAAAACTGAACTCTAAGCTTTGCAGCCATACTTGCAATACTATAACTAGAAAAAATGTTTATTAATACAGCACACATATTCTTCAAAGTATGCCATTGGCCTAAAAGAGGCCTTGCATTCTTATTTTTTTTCTTTATATGACATCAGTCTATAAATAATTGCTTGATTATAAGCAATATTCAAACATCTAGTATTACATAGTCCTATATCATTATAGAATAAATTACATGCATTATAGACATTTTTGTTGCAATTTGAATTATCTCTAGAACTAAGTATTACAATATTAAAAGATGGAACCTGACATCCAATTGAAATGTTTTTTGAAATTTTATTTAAAATACTATTTACATTCCAATTCTCAGTACTTGATGACAACAAATTCTAAAATGCTGTTTTAAAAACCTCAATAAGGTTATTAGTAAAAGTTGATGTACCAAAAAGAAACTGATTAATTCATAAGAACTACTAATATTTAAATAGTTATGATACTGTAATGTCATAGGCATTGTAAATTGAAAAATCATATATAGTATTGTATGTGTAGTTTTTCATACTACATCATAAATATTTCTATATGCAAAACTTTATTTCATAAAATTGATGTTGTTAATAACTAAAATATTCTATATATTAGCATTATGTAACAACTTTGTTTAGGTTTTGCTTGATGCTGCCTAATCTTTTCCAGAACTCTTTCATGTTGTTGTGTATAGGATACCATATTGGCTACACAGAGTATATTATACAAGAAATTATATAGTTTTGGTTTTCTGCATAAAGAACTTATTATATGAGTTAACCATATGTTTATTTCTGAAAATGCAATATTTAATATTATTAAATTAAGAAAAACTAATATTTTTAATACATAATCTTTATTGAATACTTTTAATAAAAGATTCTATTGTTTTCTTTTTTTTACAAAGATATCATATTTTTTTCTTTGTAAGATTTTAATAAACCTATTAAAAAAGATTGAAATACATGATGAAAATTCATTCTAATATTCTATAAAAGATCCCAGATTTTCAAGATTAACTTTTTTATTTTGTACTTCATGGTAAGTATTTCATATTGCAATCCCTAGTGCTTTTTCTAAATCTGATGCTGTTTCAGAAGTAACATCATATTTTTGGTTTATAATATTTGTTAAATTAATATGCCCTAGTTATATCATTATTTTAATGAAAAAAAGGCTTGGAATTGGTAAATTCATAGTTAATAAAAATGATTCAGTACTGAAAAATATTGGCAAAACAAAAACTAAGTTTGTAAGAAGAGCATTTTTTTTACTCTTATCAGTAGTTTTAGCTAGGCATAAAATCTAATGACCCAAAGTTCTGAGTCCATTATTTGCATCATTTTTATGTAATTCTTTATGTTTAAAGTTTGAATTTCCATATTCTTTTCATTCATAAAAATATCCTCCTTGTTTAACAATACATTCTGAACATATATATCTAAATTGATATTCAGTTTAATTATTTGTATCATCTCCTAATTTTACTTTATTAAATATAGAACAAACCTTAAGACAAATACAGAGTATTTGTATATTTCTTCTAAAGACACATTGTGAATATTGTATACATGTCCTCCCTCTACTAAAAAAATATTTATATTTGCTATAAAATATGCACCAATAGCAAAATATTCAACTTTCATCAATTGATCTTTTTTGTTTAATGTGTGAATAATAAAGTTGGTTTTGATCAAAAAGAAAATATGATTGACAAACTCCTATTATTGATAATTTATCTCTTTTTTGATTTTGTTAAAAAACTTTTAAATTGATTTTTCATGCTTTAATAAGCTGCATAAGTGGTCTTTGTTTTTGAGAATGACTTCCATAACATTTAATTTTATTATCAATAATGTCCAAAATTGAACAGACTGACAATTGTTGACTGATGTTCATATTAGTATTATTAATACTTGCAATATAGTATTCATTTTTATTATTTGACTCAGATTCTACATCTAATGCTAATGATGATGCTATGTTACTACTGTTTATATTACTATTAAAATTAATATTTTTTCTTAAAATATTAATGTCTTCTTCTTTTTCTACTTCAGCAAGTTTACATGCTTTATTGAAACTTGCATGATTAAAAAACAAATATTTTAATTCTATATCAAAATCAAACTTATCTGCTATAACACTTTCTGTCATAGCACTTTCTGACTCAATGGTTAAACTTGTACTTTTTGTATCTTCTTCATAATCATCTGAGATATATTCAAAATTATTAAAAGTCAAGGTATTATAAATTTTATATTGTTACACATTCATTTTTTTTAATAATAAGAGTTAAAATAAACTTATTGTAATTGTTATATAAAGTAAGACTTTACTATTAGTATAATAAAAGTTAAAATAAACTTATTGTTATTGTTATATAAAGTTAGACTTTACTATTGATATAAACTTATTGTTATCATTATTATTTAATTGTTAATTTAATAACAATAATGATAAAAAAAAACAAGATTATCATATTGTACTGAAAAAAAAAACTTTGATTCAAGATTCTTTTAAAATTAAAGATACTGTAATAGAATTTATTTTTTTCCTATATTAGTATATATTTATTTTTAGCTCTATATTATATTTTATAAT